GTGTGTGTGTGTGTGGGAGGGGGGGCGAACTGGGACTTGAGGTGTGTACATTTTGGGAGATTGTGGTGTGGAACGGATGCGTCGGGTCGATGGCAGGTGTGAGGGATTTTCCTGTCGGCTCTGTCAACGGATTGTACCTAGAGCATTAATAAAGCTATAGTTCTCAGACCTGATTGTTATATTTTGTGATTTTATTTAAACTGTAAGCTACGTCATCCACTCGGCTACAAAATGATTCACAAAATTTTTGAAAATTATTTTTAAAGCTATTAAATTCCACTAAAAAAAATTAATAAATTAGAAATATTAAAAAAATAATAATAAATGTGTGACGTCACACATGGCCTGACCCTCCCTCCCCCTTGTCACAAACTGTCACACTTTCTTACACCCCCTCCCCCCTCTGAAGCGTGACGTACTTTATGGACGGCCCCTAAATAACTCACAAATGTTTTACCATTGACCGTTAACAGATAATTCATTTTAATAGCTTTAAAAATAATTTTCAAAAATTTTGTGAATCATTTGAATTAATTTTATGTCAGATTAGCATGAAATGTTTATACCTCCCAAATTTTCCCTATGCATAACACAATGCACTAGTAGCATTTCTGGATTATCACCTTTCAGCAATTTCAAGCAGATTTTTTTCTTGCCCATCATATTAGGGACACCATCTGCAGCACAATATTTTATATTTTTCATTGGTATATTATTGACATCTAAGTAATTTTGTTTAGCTTATCTCTATCTTTGGCGGTAGTGGCGCTTTCTAATGATTTACACACAACATTTCTTCAGCAAAATTCCCTGTATCAAGAGATCTGACGTAAGTTATCAACACACAAATTTCTTCAGCAAAATTCCCTGTATCAAGAGATCTGACGTAAGTTATCAACACACAACATTTCTTCAGCAAAATTCCCTGTATCAAGAGATCTGACGTAAGTTATCAACACACAAATTTCTTCAGCAAAATTCCCTGTATCAAGAGATCTGACGTAAGTTATCAACACACAACATTTCTTCAGCAAAATTCCCTGTATCAAGAGATCTGACGTAAGTTATCAACACACAACATTTATTCAGCGAAATTCCCTGTATCAAGAGATCTGACGTAAGTTATCAACACTGCCTCACCGTTGATTCACCCATTTGCACTTAGATTTTTTGGCTTTTTTTTTCAGCTTTTCAACAAGTTGTATTTCGATATCTTCACCCATTTCGTCTGTTCCTCTGCTAACAGTGGCATCGCTTTCACATCTTTGTCACCTTTCTCCAGCACCGTCTAAGAAATGCTGATCTTGATGGTTTGATGAAATTCTCTCTTATAGTATGACTCTTCCAAGATTTAGCGATGATTAAGGAAATTTCATAACTAGCCTCAAGAGTCCGATTGACAGTTGCAGTATGAGCAGTAAATAGATAGGCCTACTTTAATTTTGCTATTTTTTTTATTTCAAAATACAAACTAAATCATAGTAGACAGTTGGTTTTCAAATTGTAGACAGCTAATTTTCCGATTGCACTTCTAAACAATCCAATTGCCCCCCCCCCCTCTTGTGGTGCGTGTGTCCTACGTTGGGAAAATCCGTTTTAGACTAAATGCTATTCGGATGTCATTTGTGGTGGTTTATTTTAGTTAAACTGAAGAAGTAAGTTTACAAACATATATTCCATTCAATTACCTTTCATTTGATACCAAATTTTATCTCGCAAATCATACAATAATATTTCAAATATTTTTTTAATAAGCCCAACTTCTCATTCTTTTCCGGGTCTGAATCCCGGGTCTGGATTGACGCAGCCTTTTGCTAATAGATCATGAACCGTTGTGGACCGAAACATTATTAAAAATACTTATAAAGCAACATATAACAAAATCTGCTAACTTGTGGGCGTCTGCAATACAACGTTACACCCCAGCCCTCCCCCTTGCCACATATGTCCGCTTTGGAATGACCCCCCCCCCCCCCCAAATAAAAAAAAAAAAAAAATTTGTCTTCGCGGATAGTCTTATGAACGATCCATAACTCTTAAGAAAAAAAAATCAGATTTTCATGTTGCAGTTGCAGTTCCTGAACAATTTTTAAATTATTAAAAATTTAATTGGGGGAAATTGCTGGAAGAAAACTATACGACATATTTCAGAATGATACTATTCTGTTCTTCAAGCAAGTTTTAAAATCCTTTATATTTTATATTAACTTCACTTTTATTCGTTGGTGGCGGACTGGCTGGCTGACAAAATCTTCGGATGGCTAACGGGCCCACTATCGATCTATCGAAACTTGCCACACAGAGTCGTTGCCAATGACAACACATTCTTTGAAATTTTTAGCCACCTCCCCCCCCCTCCCCCAGAAAAGAAATATCAGTTTTTTCTTTTTTTAAGAGGGACATGAATGACAATCCCCGATAACTGCTCTAAAAGATTCTTTAAAAAAAATAAATATCACAATTTGGAGGGGAACATTTTCTTTTGTTTTAAAATTTCTGAAATATATGGTAAAAATGTTAAATAAATCTGAGGTTTAAATGTGGGGGTTGATCATTAGAATATTAATATAGTTCAGGGGCACAAAAAACTGTCCGGTTGGGAGACTTGGGGGAGCATTAATGGGATTCTCATACCCCCCCCCCCAATTGCTTGATATTATAATATTTTATAGAGGATTTGTACGAAAAACATTTTTTAAGGGTTGTTATGAGAAGTTCAGAGAAGACAGCAGGCTGAGTCTGTATTCTGCATGCTCCGTTTTTTGCTTTGCAAATGATTGCCACAATAGGCCAACTATTTTTTTATTACTATACTAATTTAACTGCAAATGCTTAGTTTCTCTATTCATTTAATTTTAAGATTTTTTTTTTTTCCAAATTTAAAACCAGAACATTTTATATTGTTTTGGGTCTAGGCAGGATTAACAAAAAAAAAAANNNTTAAAAAAAAAAAAAAAAAACAAAAAAAAAACGATATTTTTTTTTATTAACTAGTGAGCTCTTCTATTTGTGAGGCGTTCTTTTTCAATTAAAAAATAAATAAATGTTATCCTGATGCAAATTTGGATTATTTAAGTCTTGATAACAAAAAACATTATCACATGTACTCAATCTCTTGATAAGTTAAAAAAAAATCAATGGTAGTTTAAAATCTTGTGTCTTAAGGTTAAATTGCACCGGGTTTCTGCATAACTCAAGTGTCATATTATAAAAAGTACCTGTACTTGTACACGTAACCTTATAATATTTTATTTATATTATTTTATTTATTTCAATTTCACAGTTCATTTTTTAAAACTTTTAGGCTTAGTTTTATTTTAATTTTTAGTTTAGTAATTTAGTTTTTTTTTACTTGTCCCACTTTGATTTTCTGTTGAGGCAGAAGGATATAAATTTCAACATTTTATTTCAAGTTTTAATAACTTCTCTATACTATAACTATACCCGTAACCACCTTGACTTCAAGTCATCACTGTTACTGTTAGTTAGTGTTAGTAGTCTAGTAGTAGTAGTAGTAGTAGTATTAGGCAGTAGCCAGCTTAATTAATCAAATTGAAAAGTATAAGTATAAAATAAAATGAGATTAAAAATTACAGCATCAGCATAGTCATAGTCATAGTCATAGTCAGCATATAGGCATAGTAGTCAGTAGTATCACATCGTCGTATCAACTGGAAAGCTTTATTTCTCAGAATTTAGATAAATATTGTATGTATCGGCGTATAACACGCACTTTTTCTCCCTGAAAATAGGGGGCAAATGATGTGTGCGTGTCATACGCCGATATAATGTTAATGCAAAAGAAATCTGCCCGGGGGGGGGGGCTGGGGAGGAGGGGGAGAGTGGGTGGTTTATGCCGATAAAAGTATAACACGCACTTTTTCTCCCTGAAAATAGGGGGCAAATGATGTGTGCGTGTCATACGCCGATATAATGTTAATGCAAAAGAAATCTGCCCGGGGGGGGGGGCTGGGGAGGAGGGGGAGAGTGCGTGTTTTATGCCGATAAATACAGTATATGTTATATAGCTTCCTGTCCCTTAAGAAAGTTACCAGACACTTCAATGGCCGTGGAATCGTCTTCAAAACAGTGTTTTTCTGACCTTATTAATTGGGTCACCTTTTTTTGTGATGCATCAACCTCGAAGTTTTAATAAAGCACACATTTGAGTTTTAAAATTTATGTCTGATCGGTTATCCTTTTATGAAATTCAGTTAGACCGAGCAATGTGTGCTCTGTAAATATGCAATATTGCAAATTGGTGTCACCCTTTTGATGGTGTCATCCGGTGTGGTCCGCACTCCCCTAGCTACGCCACTGGCTATAACTATAGTATAGTACTAGTTAGGCCGGCAACATTATTGTCATCATAATAATTATATAGTCAATTTCTCAATATAGAGTATTATAGGCCTATAGTGTAACCTATAGCAAAAAATGTAGGTAGGTCAATTAATTGGTACCGGTCTTGGTAGACTACTTATTAAATAAAGTTCAAGATTTGATATTATGTTATATCATATATCACTTTAACTTTATTCAAGGAGGACTATTATTAATAATATTAAATTGACTGAACTAAGACTAAGTAGTCTAAATAATTAATAATACCTACACCATACTACTAATATTACTTAATTACTAATAGTAGGCTACTTAAGTAGGCCTAGCTACTAGTATGTTAGTCTACTTGTCTAGTCACCTGGGCCATGTGTGTGTTTGTGGGGGGGGGGGTGTCAAAGGCATTTATCATGGAAATATGTGTGTTAATATGATATATTAACATTTTGGCAAGAAAGAAAGGGTCTAACTTCAGGCTTGCCACAGTACTGCTAGTATCACCTTGTTGAAATGTTATTACTTATCTGTAACAGTGTAAAGGCATAAAATTCATTATTGCTTTTTAATCTACTCTTATATCTTCACAGTTTTACTGTTAAAACTACAAGCAATAACAGTGTTTGGCTTTTGAGAAATTTTTTTAATGAAACACGTCAAATTCAATGATCTTAATTGATCTTTTTTTTTTCACAAAAATATTTCAGAGATCACATTTTATACAGTTTAAAGAAGGCTACTGTACGACTGGATTGGATATGTCTTACCCTTGTAGTTACAGTATATTATCAAAACTTGAGGAGAGTGTCTTTTCAAAAGTTTACCTTCTGCAACACACAAATGGTGAAAAAGTGAGTTAAATGTTTTTTTTTAATGCCTTATTACACCACTATCCCATTCCATTGTTACACTCCCACCCTTAAGCACATGAATTTGACTGCATTTGCATCTCCTGCCTTAATGATTAATTAAAATTATGAATAAAATGGAGATCATTGATTGAAAAGATTATAGTTTCTTTAGCTTTAACTAAATTTCTGGTTTTGGTGGCTAAAGTAATTAAAACAATAAATAAATTTCAAATGTTTGAACAGGTTATACTTCATCCAATATTTTGTTTTAAATTGAACTTAATCATTTTATATCTTATTACCGGGTAGTACACCTTGAAAGTCACTGATGCTTCAAAGACAAAAAAAAATGAAACAAAAGAGGAAGTGGAAGTACTTATGAGACTTAATCATCCACATCTTGTACAATGCTGCAACTACTTCCTGTCCGGTGAGAGTGATCTATACCTTCTACTAGAACACAATACAGGTGGGACTCTATCTCGGGCCATTGAAAAAAATATCCCAGAACCAAAGGCCCTAAAATGGTTCTCTCAACTGGCCGATGCTATAAGGGTTTGTGTAAACCTTTCTTTTTTTCTTTCAAATTTCCCATAATTTAATGTCTGTTCTATATGTTTTAAGCATGCTGTTTAAAGAAATAAATGTTAAGAAAATTCTTAGGAAACGAGCAGAACAAAGTATGGGAGAACCTGAAAAAAAAGAACGCAACAAAACATCGAATGTGTCGGCAAGAAGCCTTCATCAGAATTAAATAAAAATAACACTTAGCTGTAATGCAGTATCCGAGAGGACAGCAAGAGAAATGTGTAAAAAAATGCTCAGCTGGTTAATAAAAATTGCTGCTGTAAAAATGCTGGCAAAAATTACACTTGATAGTTTATTTGTTTCATTTTTTTTGGGCAATCTGTTGTTTAAGCAGAATGTTATGTATATTAGAAGAACAATTGACACAGAATTGACCCCATTAACATCTAGTCTAGATGTCAGCTGAACCAATGATATGATAATTTTGTAGGTCCTTCCTCTATGTAAATTGACCATAGAAGTAGAAGCATATTGCAGATTCTGATTATTGTGTCACGTACCGGTACACATTTTTTTTCTTGGTTATCCAAAATAAGCAGTTGAAAAAATTCTAAACTTCGGTCAGCGAAGGAGTGGACCCTAAATGATTTCTGTTAGAAAAAATAGCAGTGTTGGTCGTGTGACATGTCGTAACCTATCAGTAACCGTGGGAATCATTAATGAATAGAGTTTACATTACATAGCATAACTAAGTAACACTGAGATAATTAGCTTAAATAATGTGCTTTTTGCTGTCAATAATGAAGGGAAACTCCAATGGGGTTTAGGATTATTGGAAGTTTCCATCAAAATTCTGAACATCACATTTTCAAACCAAGTTGAATGACCTTTTAATAAAAAAAAGGAAAAACATTTTCTAAAACTGCAACAACAATGGAAATGATAAGTTCATAGGATTACAGATTAATTAGACTCAGGGGACATTATTTTTATATAATTTACTTTATAAAATAAACTTAGCGTTGTTTAAGAGTTAAAACCTATCCAGTCATCATAATAAGGCCAAATTTGCTTGTGTGTCAAAAGCGCGAATCTCCAGCTGCACTCCACACACCCTCACAACGATGATCGAGTTGGTCATGGTCAATATGGACTGACGAACTAAAACAGCAGTGTCAAGAAAGTTCTGTTGGGCGGTTGTTAATAGAAATGAGTTTACCTATGGAGAAAAATATTTTTCTAGTTGAGCTTTATTTTCACTTGTATGTAAGGAATTAAGTGATTGGGGGGGGGGGGGCATGTTTGTTTAAAAGTGGGAGAACAAAGATAGATTTAATAAGATGGCACCAAGTAACACAATTTTGGTGTCTGTTATTACAAAATTTTGCCATTATGAAAGTGCATTGTATCAAATTTATTTTCACTTGTATGGAAGGGATTAAGTGATTGGGGGGGGGGGGGCATGTTTGTTTAAAAGTGGCAGAACAAAGATAGATTTAATAAGATGGCACCAAGTAACACAATTTTGGTGTCTGTTATTACAAAATTTTGCCATTATGAAAGTGCATTGTATCAACAGAAGAGATGGTCTGGCAGACCCGTAACTTTTGGGATGGTGAGAATCAAGCCCATTTTACCAGAGGGTTCTGAATTTGCCCTTACAAAATCTGCCAGGAACATCTTTCAAACTCAACATCAGCATGCATACGTCTGCAGATTGTTTAAAAACATAGGTAAATTTTCATACCGCACACAGGTTGGACAACGCTTGATGGAGCCAGGATGAGGTTTTTTGGGAATTTTTGGCTATGGTGTTTGAGGATCAAGTTTATCTAGTAATGTGTGACTCTCCAAAGACCGTCACATTAACTTACTAATCGTACTGTTGATGGAGGGCTTTTCCAGAATCTTGTTACTTTAAACAAAAAATCTCTATTGGAATGGTCTTCCACTTTTTTTCAAACACTATCACCGTTTACATTCACTTATGTACAAGTGAAAATTTTGCTGAACTATGAATAATTTTTCCTCTGTGGAGAGACCCATCTCCAGCAACTGCTTCCCAACACATAATGGTTTTCACTTCTATGGTCACATGGTGGCTGGAGCTATGCACCGCTGACAAACGCAAGATGCAGGAGTTTCAGCACTGTTAGTTTCAGGACATGCTGTTTTTATTCAAACTTTAATCTAAAATAAAACAAAAATGTTATATTTTATTGTTTAGTATCTACATTCTATTCTTTTGCTAATATCTACATTCTATTCTATTGTTTAGTATCAACATTCTACTTTTGCTAATATCTATATTCTATTATATTATTTAATATCCACATTCTATTCTATTGTTTAGTATCAACATTCTAATTTTGCTAATATCTACATTCTAATTCTATTATTTAGTATCTACATTCTATGAAAGTGATCCACCGTGACTTGAGGCCCGACAATATTTTTCTTGACAATGATGGTAACATCAAAATTGGGGACTTGGGAACTGCAAGGTATAAGCATAGTAGAAGTACAGTGAAAATAGTTAAAGTCATGATAGTTGGTTTTGTGACACCAGATCTATCATCTTTATATAAATCATTGTCGCTTTGATGTGTATTGAATCCCTCCTCTGTATTGAATCCCTCCTCTGTATTGAATCCCTCCTCTGTATTGAAAAATACAGAGTGGAATAGATGCAAATATTCCTTTTAGAAATTATGTGAAAATGTTGGATGATCATGACATTGTTCAGTTTAAGGCGTTGGTTACCAACCTGTTTGACTAGCGGAGCCCATTTTAGAATCACTTTCTTTGGCTGAGCCCCCTTAAGCCTATCCTGTGTTTAACAAGTTAAAGTGTTAAAACATTGTGTAACGGGGGAGAGAATGGCTCTGGACCCACTGAAAATTGCTTGGAGAGCCCTTAGGGCTCCACGGAGTACAGGATGGGAACTGTTTTTTAAGATGTTTGAAATTTATATAACAAATAATTAATGTATTGAATGCTTTTATATACATAATTATTGAATTGTACTGTATTCAGTCAAAAATGATGTTAATTGACTTGTAGGATAACATTTACTTTGTACCAAGATTGATCAAAGTTCTGTCCAGACATTTTGACAATGGTGTCAATTTAAAGAGATTGGAGTTATGTAGTATATTTGGTTTTTGTTGCTAGACACTCATGTGGTTAATATGAATGGAATACCCATGATAGTACATCAGTGATTTTTAAAAAAAATATTTTTTTGACATACATTTCTTACAAGCTCTTAAAGATTTCACAAAGCTTTGCGTATGGACTGCATCTGAAAGTTCTGTTTTAGAACTTTGAACTTTTGCTTTTACAATCATTTCCAACTTAAATGTGATCAGTTCATTTCATGCATTTTATTTTGAAATAAAATTTATTGGTAACACTTATCAGTAGAGACTTAGATATATTTTCACTTCATTGAAAATACCACTTGTTCCTCTGCAATGTAGCTGTTATACCATTGAATTATTTACACACTTCAGACAGCAAGAAACTGTAGCATTAAGTGGTGATGCACCAGCGGGTACACCTTGTTACATGAGTCCACAAATCATAAATGGAAAACCGTACACAGAAAAGGTACTTTTTCAAATTCGTATACTTCTGTAAGATTGTTACTCCAAAGAAGGTGGGCAAAAAGATATTACAGTGTGAACCAAACATAAATAGTAGTCTAGAATATTCATAATATCACTTCATAGATGAAATGTGTACAATATAATTTTCTTGTAAACCTTAAATTGTAATCATAAAGATTAGCAACTATCAACAAGCCAAAATTTAATAATTATTTAACAAAAAAATGCATACAATTTTTTTTTGCAGCAAAATTTTTTGCTAATAGTATTAGAAATATTATTTCACAGCTGCATTGAATCCCTCCTCTGCATTGAATCCCTCCTCTGCACTGAATCCCTCCTCTGCATTGAATCCCTCCTCTGCATTGAATCCCTCCTCTGCATTGAATCCCTCCTCTGCATTGAATCACTCCTCTGCATTGAATCCCTCCTCTGCATTGAATCCCTCCTCTGCATTGAATCCCTCCTCTGCATTGAATCCCTCCTCTGCATTGAATCCCTCCTCTGTATTGAATCCCACCTCTGTATTGAATCCCTCCTCTGTATTGAATCCCTCCTCTGTATTGAATCCCTCCTCTGCATTGAATCCCTCCTCTGTATTGAATCCCTCCTCTGCATATTTAGATGACATCTTCCTTGAATGTTTAAGTTGAATTCTTGACTTATTCAGATGAGATAATAATAATACATGGTTGCTTTGAAAGCTTGGTGTAGGGTAGACAACAAAAATAAAAAAAAAATAACAGAGACTGAAAACTCTCTAGTTGCTAAAATGTGTCTTTTTGGATATTCAATCATAGTTTAAAATGATCTGAGCCAAGGTTTATTGTGTATTTTCAAAAAGCATCTTTCAAAGTTAAGTTATAGTTATACCGTACGTCATTGTAGACTGAATGATTTTATAGTTATACCGTACATCATTGTAGACTGAATGATTTTATAGTTATACCGTATGTCATTGCAGACTGAATGATTTTATAGTTTTACCGTATGTCATTGTAGACTGAATGATTTTATAGTTATACCGTACGTCATTGTAGACTGAATGATTTTATAGTTATACCGTATGTCATTGTAGACTGAATGATTTGATCCTTTCAATTTTATTATTGTTTCATTTTATCACCAGTCAGATATTTGGAGTCTTGGCTGCATTTTTTATGAGATACTTGCTCAGCAAGCGCCTTTCAGCTTTCCCAAGCTCAGTTCTATTATATATGAGCATGTAAGTAAATCTAAAAAAAACATTGTGTTTGTTACTGTAGCATGGTAAGATTGTGTTTGTTACTGTGGCATGGTAATATTGTGTTTGTTACTGTAGCATGGTAACATTGTGTTTGTTACTGTGGCATGGTAAGATTGTGTTTGTTACTGTGGCATGGTAACATCGTGTTTGTTACTGTGGCATGGTAACATTGTGTTACAATGACACCGTACCATTGTAACACAAACAATGACACCGTTGGTAACATTGTGTTTGTTACTGTGGCATGGTAACATTGTGTTTGTTACTGTGGCATGGTAACATTGTGTTTGTTACTGTGGCATGGTAACATTGTGTTTGTTACTGTGGCATGATAATATTGTGTTTGTTACTGTGGCATGGTAACATTGTTTGTTACTGTGGCCTGGTAACATTGTGTTTGTTACTGTGGCATGGTAAGATTGTGTTTGTTACTGTGGCATGGTAAGATTGTGTTTGTTACTGTGGCATGGTAAGATTGTGTTTGTTACTGGGGTATGGTAACATTGTGTTTGTTACTGTGGCATGGTAACATTGTGTTTGTTACTGTGGCCTGGTAACATTGTGTTTGTTACTGTGGCCTGGTAACATTGTGTTTGTTACTGTGGCATGGTAACATTGTGTTTGTTACTGTGGCCTGGTAACATTGTGTTTGTTACTGTGGCATGGCAACATTGTGTTTGTTACTGTGGCATGGTCACATTGAACCAAACAGAATAAAGAAAATGATGGAGCAACTGACTTTGTAGACTTTGAGTAACACGAAGACTGTAGAGGAATATCTGTATCAGAAGAAGAGAAAAAGTCACTTCTTTACATTTCTGTGTTTTACAAATTTCTGCTCTATTTCATGCCAGCACTGGCACAGTTTTATTTGAAAAAAGTGATTCTTTATTAAGTATAGAGCAAGGTTGCCTACTCTACTAGGTATAGAGCAGGGTTGCCTACTCTACTAGGTATAGAGCAGGGTTGCCTACTCTACTAGGTATAGAGCAGGGTTGCCTACTCTACTAGGTATAGAGCAGGGTTGCCTACTCTTCTAGGTATAGAGCAGGGTTGTCTACCTTCCTTATATTTAAGGATAGTCTGTACAGGGAACATTTAACAAAGTCCACAATAATTTTTGATTTTCCAGTAAAAAAAAAAAAAGACACTGTCCATTTGAAACCAAATAAAATAGAACATCTCATCGTCTATTTTGTAACTTATTTCTGCTCAAAGGATGAGTTTTATTTCTCCCAGCCTCCAGCAATACCAAACATGGCCTATGGATTGAATATACGTTTCTTTATCAATACAATTCTGGACAAAGATGATGCCAGACGACCCTCAGCACAGTGGATTCTTGATAAAGTTGTTGTGAGTTATGATCTAGTCATTTTTATCAATAGGTGTTTATTGATACATTTTATTGAGTAGGACTGAGCTGGGTTTGTTTTTGTCCGGGCATTTTGAGACTGTACCGGGTGGGTCCGGGCATTTTGAGACTGTACCGGGTGGTTCTGGGCATTTTGAGACTGTACCGGGTGGGTCAGGGCATTTTGAGACTACCCAGTGGGTCCGGCATTTTGAGATTGTACCCGGTGGGTCCAGGCATATTGAGACTGAGCCCAGTGGGTCTGGGCATTTTGAGACTGTACCCAGTGGGTCCGGCATTTTGAGACTGTACCCGGTGGGTCCGGGCATTTTGAGACTGTACCCGGTGGGTCTGGGCATTTTGAGACTGTACCGGGTGGGTCGGGCATTTTGAGACTGAACCCGGTGCATCAGGTTATTACAATTCAGGAACCTTCAATAAGACTAAGAGAGAAAATCTTTTACATTAAATGGGGAAAAGTGAAAATTGCATGTATAGATGCATTAAGGGGCCATCCATATATTATGTACAAAACTCATGTGTAGATACATTTAGGGGCTATCCATATATAATGTACACAACTCATGTAAATATGTATTAAGGGGCCATCCATATGTTAGATGAACAACTGATGTATAGATGCATTAAGGGGGTAGGGGCCTGATTAAATCTTAATTTGTAAAAAAATTATCGAAATGTTTAATTTTTTTCAAATTTGAAAGTTCAACATTCATAGAATCGACCACATATAAATTGATTAAAACAGGGATAACAATAAACAGCTGATTTTGAACTCCCTACCTCTTTGAAAAAGTTGACCTAATTTTAGTAAGATTATTAAATATTAAACAATAAGACCCTTTTGACACCTGGAAAACTCTATTTTTAAGTATCAGAATGGGCCATTATAATATATAAACGGAAAGGTGATATCATGGGCTATTTTACTGTTATGAATTATGAGCATTAAGTAGATTTTCCATAAATATTCAAGCCCTCAAATGTATCAAAAATAATATTTCATTGGATGACTATTTTTTTTCAATTTTTTCATCGGTGTAAAATGTAACCATGGCCCTTATTTTGTTCATGCATGCGCAGCCCAGTTTTCTCCTTCGAATTTCTTTCCTAGCGACTCTTTCTTAGACTGACTTGTTACCGGCGCATCAATTTCCAACATTTTTTTTCTACAAAAAATTATAATATGCTCTTCTAAGAGGCCTAAAAAGGGGGAGAGACCGGTTTGGTAAAAGCAATGAAAATAAAAAAACCTAGGGGAATTCATCACCCGGAAACTAACTGAAGTTTATAATTCAAGGTAAGTTTGCTATTAGTAAAAGTAAAACTAGAAATTAGGACCACAGGCCATGTCATGTCATAGTTCATACTATTACTGGTATTGTGGTAGTAGTCTCTTATTAAAACTTTTTAGACTTTGTGTTATTTTGGTGTGACCAGTCTTCCTGTTTCCATTGTTTAGGTTATGTTTATGCGGGGGGGGGGGGGGGGGGGGTGGGAGACTGCATAAATTATTGATATTATAAACATTTTTTTTTTTTTTTTTTTAGGGGGGGGGGGGGGGGGGGGGGGGGGGTGTCGGGAACTGACTTAATTAGTATACATATAAACATTTTTTTTGTTTTGTTGTTACGTGCAACATGGTGATTGAAGAACCTTACTAGTATTAGATAGCATATGGATTTAGCAAAGACTGTTTTTGTCAGGGGCATATATTGCAAAAGAAATTATTTCAATCATAAGAAAGACCTAAGCTCATTGTTAATTCATTTTAATGATGGAAATCCATTTCAAGGGGGTCATACAACTACAAATTCTTTTTTTTTTACAGTTCATCCATGAATGCTGACTTGAGTGAGCCTGCAGTCATGACAGAAACTACTGGACTGCTAAAATGTAGTAGAGCGGAGCAGAGGTTCACTGTTTAAAATAATGCAACGGAGGGAATACTTGACAACGACTCGTACACAATGGTTCACAATGGTACATCAAAACTACCTCCAGTCTCCTCGATCAGTAGAGGGATGTACAAATTGCAGAGGCAACAGCCTACAGCTATTTCCAAAAAACGACAACAAACAAATGGTCTGGCTGCCCATTTAAAAAGGTGCTGTCCAGATTGTATGCCAGAGTGGTCAGAGTGGTCAGATTGGACATCTGCACAAGTGAATAAGCAGTTTGACATTAATTACCTAACAATTATAGGTCGTAGCGACAATGGAATTGGGTGTGCTATGTTGCATTCTTTGTTTTCGGCAATGAATATTAAATCGCAGATGCACCACAAAACCTATTATAGGTTGTCAAAAACTCTCAGCACGGCAGGAAAAGAAGCAGCAGATGAAGCAATGTGCCAAGCTGCTCGGCAGCAAAAGAAGCAGCAGATGAAACAATGTGCCAAGCTGCTCGGCAGCAAAAGAAGCAGCAGATGAAACAATGTGCCAAGCTGCTCGGCAGCAAAAGAAGCAGCAGATGAAGCAATGTGCCAAGCTGCTCTTGTTGTTTGTGAAAGAGCAAGAGCTGCAGACCCCCAAACAGACTAAGCCAAAAGCAAAACAGGGTGTCCTATCATCTCAATGCCCTATGATGGCACCTGGCAAAAGCAAAACAGGGTGTCCTATCATCACTGTGCCCTATGATGGCACCTGGCAAAAGCAAAACAGGGTGTCCTATCATCACTGTGCCCTATGATGGCACCTGACAAAAGCAAAACCGGGTGTCTCATCATCACTGTGCCTTATGATGGCACCTGGCAAAAACGAGGCCATTCATCTCACAGCGTGGTTGGTGTTGCAATCGACGTGGACGGTGGCCTAGTTTTAGTTACGCATGTAATCAGCAAGTATTGTAAAATGTGTGCCGCTGGGCCAAGGCCGGGTTCACCTGAATTTGTAACCTGAATGGAAAAACACAAACCCAGTTGTCAGAAGAATGCAATGGAGACTGTGTCAGACAGGATGATCTTTTCAAGATCAGGCAAAAAGAGAAATGTAATTTATGGCACAATGCTTTGTGACGAAGTGCAGAAGTGTTATGAAATTGAAATAACAAAAGAGGACTGTATAAATCATATCACAGAGAGGACCATATAAATCATATCATAAAGAGGACCATATAAATCATATCATAAAGAGGACCATATAAATCATATCGCAAAACAGACTGTATAAATCATATCATAAAGAGGACCATATAATTCATATCGCAAACGGACTGTATAAATCATATCATGAAGAAGACTGTATAAATCATATCATAAAGAGGACCATATAAATCATATCGCAAAACGGACTGTATAAATCATATCATAAAGAAGACCATATAAATCATATCGCAAAACGGACTGTATAAATCATATCATAAAGAGGACCATATAAATCATATCGCAAAACGGACTGTATAAATCATATCATAAAGAAGACCATATAAATCATATCGCAAAACGGACTGTATAATTCATATCATAAAGAGGACCATATAAATCATATAGCAAAACGGAATGTATAAATAATATCACAAAGAGGACTGTTTAAATAATATCGCTGCAAAAAAATGTTTAATGCTTTGGAAAATGTGAAAAAAAATCAAAGAAACTTAAAATCACCAACTGACAAAATCAGTTATTGAGAAAATAACTAATAAATAAATTCAAAGAATTTAAGAGACAATGCACCATGTACATAAAATAAAACAAGGTGAATTCTTTCACATGATGATTACCGACAAAACTCTTAACCACAGAAATTGTCCAGAGGGGGAAAATTCTTGGTGCCGCTACCAGAGAGCAGTAAAGACTGGTCTCCATGAAAACACAGACCTACATTTTCATCACAAGTTTGGAGTATTATCTATTATTGTAAGATTCACGGAATCAAATCTGTTTAACCGCTGTACTAAAACAGGTACGCAGGATGTCTACGAAAGTTTCATCTCGTTGATTTGGCAGTGCTGCCCTAAAACTGTGTTTTTTTCCATGGCAGCAGTGGAGAGGGAACATCACTTGCCACTTTATCGTTTAACTGTGGTCTGGTGGGACTAAAGTTGGTCCTAGAGAAAATTGGATTAAAGTGGGGGGATTTAGTCAATATGTCTGCTACAAGGATGTTGGAATCCAAATGTAACAATCCATAGAAACAGACACTGGGCATTTAGACAATATGTCTTCTACTCTACAAGGATGTTGGAATCCAAATGTAACAGTTCATAGAAACAGACACTGGGCATTTAGACAATATGTCTTCTACTCTACAAGGATGTTGGAATCCAAATGTAACAATTCATAGAAACAGACACTGGGCATTTAGACAATATGTCTTCTACTCTACAAGGATGTTGGAATCCAAATGTAACAATTCATAGAAACAGACACTGGGCATTTAGACAATATGTCTTCTACTCTACAAGGATGTTGGAATCCAAATGTAACAGTTCATAGAAACAGACACTGGGCATTTAGACAATATGTCTTCTACTCTACAAGGATGTTGGAATCCAAATGTAACAATTCATAGAAACAGACACTGGGCATTTAGACAATATGTCTTCTACTCTACAAGGATGTTGGAATCCAAATGTAACAGTTCATAGAAACAGACACTGGGCATTTAGACAATATGTCTTCTACTCTACAAGGATGTTGGAATCCAAATGTAACAATTCATAGAAACAGACACTGGGCATTTAGACAAAATGTCTTCTACTCTACAAGGATGTTGGAATCCAAATGTAACAGTTCATAGAAACAGACACTGGGCATTTAGACAATATGTCTTCTACTCTACAAGGGTGTTGGAATCCAAATGTAACAATTCATAGAAACAGACACAGGGCATTTCCAAGTGGAAACAGAAGAATCTTTAAAAAAGACGCTTTGAGCGAGAGCACCTCAATGAAGTTGAAGAAGGGGAACCTATGTTCCTGGTTCCTTTCAACAATTGATTTTGTTTATAAATGATCATGGTTATGATGCTGTACAAAAGAAAATAAGCCACATCACCATCTTTCTAAAATAAACTTTGTATTTTTCACTTTCAACGTTTAAAATTGATTTTTTTTCAAAATTGTTTTTATTCTGTTTTTTTGTAACATAGTGTTGTAAAATCTCAGCTAATTTAAAAACTATAGTCTTAAAATTTTGTGTGTATCTTCCTTGTTGTGGGGAATGATCCATACAAAATGTAATTTTTCTTCAATTAATTTTTTATTTACTTTTGATGATAAATTTTTAAGTTTTCTGCTGAGGCAAAATAAAAAAAATAAATAGTATTTACTATTTTGAAAAAATTAAACTATTGGTAGCATTCCATGTTATCAGTAGCCATTTAAGTTATCTTTACCCATCAATGTGATCAGTAGGCTCCAATGTTATCTGTGGCCATCCATGTTATCAATAGCTACCCATGTTATCCGTGCCCATCAATGTGATCAGTAGCCATCCATGTTATCGGTAGCCATCCATGTTATCTGTGCCCATCAATGTGATCAGTGGCCATCCATGTTATCTGTAGCCATCCATGTTATCTGTGGCCATCAATGTGATCAGTGGCCATCCATGTTATCTGTAGCCATCCATGTTATCTGTGGCCATCAATGTGATCAGTAGCCATTCATGTTATCTGTAGCCATCCATGTTATCTGTGCCCATCAATGTGATCAGTAGCCATTCATGTTATCTGTAGCCATCCATGTTATCTGTGCCCATCAATGTGATCAGTGGCCATTCATGTTATCCGTAGCCATCCATGTTATCTGTGGCCATCAATGTGATCAGTGGCCATCAATGTGATCAGTGGCCATTCATGTTATCTGTAGCCATCCATGTTGTCTGTGCCCATCAATGTGATCAGTAGCCATCCATGTTATCTGTAGCCATCCATGTTATCTGTGGCCATCAATGTGATCAGTAGCCATCCACATTATCTGTGGCAATCCATGTAATCAGTAGCCATCCATGTTATCTGTGGCAATCCATGTAATCAGTAGCCATCTATGTTATCATTAGCCATCCATGTTATCTGTGGCCATCCATGTTATCAGTAGTCATCAATGTAATCAGTAGTCATCCATTAACGTGATCATTAGCCATCCATGTTACTGGTACCCATCCGTGTTCAAGTAGCTATCCATGTTATCAGTAGCCACCCAATTAGTTACATTAAAAGTTCACCATTAATGTTATTCTTGTCTCACTATTCGATTTGAAACAAAAATCTGATTGCTTCATACTTACAATTTCTTTAATGATATCTCTCAGGAACTACAAGGTAAGCCCTATATTCCTGGACCCAATGTTCATCTGCCTAAAGTTGCCGTTGACAAGACAGCTGTGCACGAGTCTCTCAGGCTGTTCCACGAACAAGGAAAACTAGACTGTTTACAAACTTCTGAGGCTGGCAACAGTTCCAGCTGGTGGTACGTGCCGTTGGCCGTAGGTGCTGGATTACTAACTGCCGCCCTCTTATCTGGTGGCAAAAAAACAAAGGAGGGTGAAGGTATTGACAAGAATCCAAAGAAGTAGATTGTGCACAATATTGGTGTACAGCAGATGGGTACAGCAGTTGTGTACAGCAGTGGTGTGCAAAATGTGTACAGTAGTTCTGTGCAGCTGTTGTGTGCATCATGTGTACAGTAGTGGTGTACAGCAGTTGTGTGCAGCAGGTGTGTACAGCAGTTCTGTACAGCATTTTTACAGCAGTTGTGTGTAGCAGTTGTGCGCAGCATGTGTACAGTAGTGGTGTACAGCAATTATGTACGGCAGTGGTGTACAGCAGTGTGTGTAGGAGTTGTGTTCAGCATGTGTACATCAGTTGTGTGCAGCAGTTGTGTGCAGCATGTGGACAGCAGTTATGTACAGCAGTGGTGTACAGCAGTGTGTGTAGGAGTTGTGTTCAGCATGTGTACATCAGTTGTGTGCAGCAGTCATGTGCAGCATGTGTACATCAGTTTTGTACATCCGTTGTGTGCAGCAGTCATGTGCAGCATGTGTACATCAGTTTTGTACAGCAGTTGTGTGCAGCAGTCATGTGCAGCATGTGTACATCAGTTTTGTACATCCGTTGTGTGCAGCAGTCATGTGCAGCATGTATACATCAGTTTTGTACATCCGTTGTGTGCAGCAGTCATGTGCAGCATGTGTACATCAGTTTTGTACATCAGTTGTGTGCAGCAGTCAATAACTAGTGTGCATCCAGCCTTAAGTCACCAGTTATTTATACAATTGGATATTCAGAATGTATCTGTATTTATTTCTGGACATATTGCTTTTGAAACTTCATCTAAAATGTAATCAACATTTAAAGTTAACCTCATGATCATAGTTGCTAAAAAATTTGATGATGTGAATAGCAGTAGTGTATGATTAACTCCAAATGGCTTCTCATACTGTTTTGCCAGACCTTAATCACTTCAAATGGCTTCTCATACAGAATTACTAGTCCTTGATCACATAAGATGGCTTCTCATACTGTATTACCAGTACTTGATCACATAAGATGACTTCTCATACTGTATTACCAGTACTTGATCACTCCAAATGACTTCTCATACTGTATTAACAGTACTTGATCACATAAGATTACTTCTCATACTGTATTACCAGTACTTGATCACTCCAAATGACTTCTCATACTGTATTACCAGTACTTGATCACATAAGATGACTTCTCATACTGTATTACCAGTACTTGATCACTCCAAATGACTTCTCATACTGTATTACCAGTACTTGATCATATAAGATGACTTCTCATACTGTATTACCAGTACTTGATCACATAAGATAACTTCTCATACTGTATTACCAGTCCTTGATCACATAAGATGACTTCTCATACTGTATTACCAGTCCTTGATCACATAAGATGGCTTCTCATACTGTATTACCAGTCCTTGATCACATAAGATAACTTCTCATACTGTATTACCAGTACTTGATCACATAAGATGACTTCTCAAAACCGTATTACCAGTACTTGATCACATAAGATGACTTCTCATACTGTATTACCAGTACTTGATCACATAATATGACTTCTCATACTGTATTACCAGTCCTTGATCTCTCCAAATGACTTCTCATACTGTATTAACCAGAGTCAACACTGCTTACTGTGGTCCCTAACTTTTAGGATCACTGGCTAAAATATGTTAAATATTAGTGCATATTTCATGAGTAATACATGAATACAGTACAGCTGTAAATGTCATAGGTATTGTTTGTAATACATGAATTCAGTACAACTGTAATTGACATTGGTACCAGCATTGTTTGTTACACATGAATTCAGTATAATTTGGAATATATGAATTCAATATACCTATAAATGACATAGGTACCGGTATTGTTTGAAATGCATGAATTCAGATACTCTATAAATGACATTTGTACCAGTATTGTTTAAAATACATGAATTCAGCACAACTATAAATGACTTTGGTATTGTTCGTAATACAGGAATTCAGCACTGTTAGTTTATCAAGAGTCATGAGTTTCAGTGCTGTTTATTTATCAAGATTCACGATTTTCAGTATTACTAATGTACATATTATGTTTCTGGATTAAAGTAACATTGTTAAAGGAAAGAACTTGTGTTGAATTCAGTGTGATTATGACGTGTGACCGTGTCAAAGAAGATGATGAAAGAAATCAATCAAATACAAATTGGTGTCAGGAGGGACTTTCATCTGGGATTGGTAAACCTCATCATTTTCTTACTTTGAGGTGCAAGAACTTTAATTTTATTTCAACTTTACAATCACCTTCGCCTGTTCCCGTGGTCCATGGTCGGAGCCGTGTTGCTACCGTGTATCAAGTTTGAATGAGCTACACACGCCAGTGACTCTATTCAGCTACCTATGGCCTGTCCTATATCAGATTATCATGCCCAGTTCCATTGAGTTACCAACGTCCTTTCCTGCAGCAAGTTACCTATGTCCTGTCCAGTTCCAGTGAGTTACTGCCCAGTAACGGCGAGTTAAAAACGCACTGCACTAAATCAAGCTGCATACGCCCTGTCCATTATCTTCAAGGTACCTACGCTCTGTCCAGTATCGGTGAGTTGTCAAGGAACTGTTGCCAAGAAGCTTGTACCGTGCCATGGTCCAATGATCCATGCTTGTACCGTGCCATGGACCATGATTGTACCGGGCAATGACCTATGCTTGTACTGTGCCATGGTCCATGCTTGTACCGTGCCAAGGTCCATGCTTGTACCGTGCCACGGTCCATGCTTGTACCGTGCCAAGGTCCATGCTTGTACCGTGCCATTGTCCATGGTCCATGCTTGTACCGTGCCATTGTCCATGGTCCATGCTTGTACCGTGCCAAGGTCCATGTTTTTACCGTGCCATGGTCCATGCTTGTACCATAATAGGAATTACCAGCATGGACACACCAAGAAAGTTTTGTATTGGAGATTTTCATCCAACAACCAAATTTACTCCAACGATCCATAACGTGCCATAAGAGTCAATTTTTCGGACATCAAACTTAACCTTAACGTGAACACCATACATACGTCCATTTATTATAATACGACAGACAGTCGCAGTTTCCTGCTATACTCATCGTCCCATCTTCAATCATCCCTTCCTTTTCTCCATTGCTTAGACTAAAAAGATTTTTGGGAATGGATGGCGGAAATGTTGTGTTTTTTTTTTGCCAACGTAGGTTATCAGTTATAACGTATCGTGTTATTGATGCAATCAAATTAAAAGTATGACTAGACTGGATTCGTTTAACGTGACTCATTCTGGCAATGGGGATAGGTCTAAATACATTTTTAACTTTTCATCCCCATAACCTTATTGGCTAGTTTTCTTGTTCTCAAAAACCGGTCCATTCATATTGCAGACCCTGTCCCCAATTAGATTTTTTAAAAACCTCCTCTTTTCGCTTTCCGGAAGGGCAAGAACCACAGGGACATGCTTGTTAGAAGCCAGCTCTCTGTAATTAAAGCAGGCTCAGACCGTATCCGGAAATTTGATCGAAAGAAATTTCGTCGACGGTAAATTGGTCGACGGTAATATGATCGAACGGAAATTTGGTCGAATCTTCTTTTCAATTTTTACGTTACAATTTTGAATCAAATTTCTTTTTGAACGAATTATTTTGTTTTACTAAATATTATAGTGCGTTCAAAAAGAAAGTTGACGAAAATTTTAACGTGCAAACAGAAAAAAAGATTCGACCAAATTTCCGTTCGATCAAATTACCGTCGATCAATTTACCGTCGGCGAAATTTCTTTCGATCAAATTTCCGATAACCGGCACAGACACCAAAAAAAGGTGCAACCCTAGCCGCTGTAACACTCGTACCTGCGTGATTGAAATTGATAAGATCACTTTCCCTCTGAAAGTCTTCAGAATCAAAGATGGCTTTACATGCACAAGTCGCAAGTCCTTTGTAAAAAATTGCGGTAAATCATACGTAGGAGAGAAAGGTCTTCGCCTTGGAGTCCGTTTTAGAGAACACCTATATAACATAAATAAACAATCCCTCTACCCAGTTTCCAAACATTTAAATAGTGAATTGAATTGAATGGTGCTTGTATCCATGCTACTTTAGCATGCTCACAGAGCTCTGATGTTCTTAAATCTATTTAAATAAAAAAGTCTTTATATGTTTCTTAAACTATTTTTATCATTTTCAGTGTCACTCAAAAATTGAGATAAACTTTACCATAATTTTGGCGATATCGCTTCAAAAGAGCGCACTCCGTATGACGCTGTCCTGTGTTCATCCACACTGGGAACTCTCAGGAAGGACTTTGTTGAAGAGCGCATGTTCTTTAAGGATACGTGTTTAGAGATCAGTTCTTTAAGATATTCCGGTGCAGTTCGTGAGACCGGTTTAGAGTATGACAGTAATACACCGGATATGATTTATTTGGAAAGTAAATTAAGAACAAGATTTGTTTGACTCCATACGCTAGAAACCCAATCCATAATTTGACATAGCTGCCATGTCTTTATCCTTTTTAACATTTTCTTATTTCCACAATCTTCCTTTCCGTTCTGCCCAACTTTGTTGTTGTCAGGTACTTGCGCTCACTTATATTCTTTTCGCTCATTTTTAAATAGGTTAGGCCTACATGCGTGTGTGCGTGTGTTTATATACATTTCAGTTTTTTATCAAAAGGGTTAGGGGGGGGGGGCAAAACCAAACCTTGGTCGGCTTGTTACGTTGTTATTACTAGGGGCGCCACAATACATATCAATTTAAACAAAACCTGCAAATTGAGGGGCGGTGGCAAATGGCACACCATGCCCTACCCAAAATGACGTCGCTGAGTGGGGCTGAACATTTTAACAAAACACGCACTTTTTATATTCAGGCTCCTGAACTATAGTCATATTCTAATGACCCTTCTGTCTTGACACCGCAGATTTATTTCACAAACTGTTTCAGAAATACGACATAAGATATTGCGCACCAAACGCACTTATGAAATTTTATTGAAAAGAATCTCATTTAGCGCAGTAATCGGGAATTTTATTTCGTTAAATCAGTGTCATAATATTTCCTTCCTGCTCTCTTTGAAAAAAAGAGTGACATTTTGGGGTTGGGGGTAGGGCTGAAAACTCGAAAGGAGGAGTTGTCATTTGAAACAAGTCTATGTTCCAAGTTTTACCTCGATAGGTTTACGGGAAGTGGGTCAATTAACCGTAAAAAAACGTTGCTAACCCCTCCCCCCACCCACTCAGCCAGCCACCCAGGCATCTACGAAAAGAGCGAAGCTAATATAAATGATTTAACTGGCCCAACAGTTGTTAATATTATTAGTTCAAAACCCTTCAGGTTTTCAATTTTCATTTTAAAGTGCATTTGTAGCGAAATTACATTTTTTATAGCACATACAATACACAATTTTGCAATACTTGGACCAAACAAAGTCGCATTGAAAATCTACCAATTAATTGATGTTTTAAAGCATGCCGTTCTAAATATAGATTTATTAAATATAACTTTCCTTGAATGCCCCTCAAAGCCATTCAAAATAAAAATGATTTTAAAAAATATTTTCATTCTTTACATCATTACTTTAAGTTTAAGAAAAAATTACAACTTTTGGGGTAATAGGATTAGGACAAAACTATCCCAGAACCATTTATGAGTTAGGATTTTTTTTTTTTTTTAATCTAATCTAAGGGTTATTTTAGTTACATTGTTTTAAGACTATCTTAGCGCCCTTATCTTAGGGTTATCTTAGTGCACTTATCTAGGGGTTATTATTAATATTATTATATTAAGTGGTTTTATATTGCGTAGTACCCTGGCCTAGGGCTGGGCTCACCACGCTGTACATACAATTTAACAAACATAATAAAAAAACTTAAAATATTAATTAAATAAAACAAAACAAATGTATATTTAAAACTTTTTACATGTCAAGCCATGGACGACACCCAGCAGCATCGTTTTGCGGTCAGAGGTGGGAATCAATCAGGATAGTATACTTTGAAAAGATGTGTTTTGAGTGCAGTTTTGAAGGTTGTGATGGTCGGGATATTGCGGATGTGTAGTGGAAGAGAATTCCATTGTTTGGGTGCACAGAAAGAGAACGATCGTTCACCGTATGTTTTTGTGCGAGTCTTGGGGACAGAAAGAATACGCGCGTCTGCGGAGGAGCGAAGCTGTCGAAGGGGTGAATAGACAGAAAGAAGTTCGGTTTGATAGGAAGGGGAGGAATTCGAGAAAAATTTGTGGCAGAGAACAGATAGTTTGTAGTCATTCCGTGCTTGTACAAGGAGCAAATGAAGTCAATGAAGTAGTGGTGTGACGTGATCACGTTTTCTTGCCTTTAGAATTAGCCTAGCAGCCGAGTTTTGAACCTTTTGTAATTTTTCTAAGACGTGTTTTGGTGAACCTGATAGGATTGTCTTATCTCCTTGATCAGTGGGTTGTTACACATTCAGATCAATGGTTTGTTACACATTCAGATCAGTGGTTTGTTACACATTCAGATCAGTGGTTTTTTACACATTCAGATCAGTGGTTTGTTACACATTCAGATCAGTGGTTTGTTACACATTCAGATCAGTGGTTTGTTACACATTCAGATCAGTGGTTTCTGTAGCCATTCCGTGTGAAGGGATCACTATCTAGACTCATTTATTTGTCTATACTTTTGTTACTAAAGAGCTTGTACCTATTTTTAAACTCAGACTATTTGTGTTGAAAGGTTTACATATTGGCAGGCTAGTTCAGTTAACCATTAATTTTATCCCTTTCGTTCTACACCCTCTTGAAAACCTCCCAACATCGCCCTAATGCTAACCACTCAGTGTAACAGCGAGTCTCGGGATGCTTCCAATTCTTTTTGTTACGTGCGCCCTCCCGGTATCCCATTCTCTTTCTCGCGACTCCAGAAGTTACCAGTCAAATGTGTAAGCCCTAAAATTGATTGATTCTTACCCTGATGGGAATAAATTTTAAGAGTAATACACTAACATACATTGTAACAGGAGTTGAGAGCGGACCACTCTTCAGATTTGGAAAGGGTTAGAGTTAGGGTTAGGGCTAGAGTTAGGGTTAGAGTTAGGGTTAGGGCTAGAGTTAGGGTTAGGGCTAGAGTTT